TCTAACGAAAACAAATAAAGTCCGATGTTTTCCAAGCTGACGAGGTAGTCTTCATTCCCAGTTTTTACTAATTAGTTGATAGATTCCATTCCTCTCGCTAGCAAAACTTCCAATCTCTTGGATTCAAAGGATACTTAAAACAAAATTGCAATTAACGTATGTGATTGGCTGACGAAAAGAATCACATCTGGAAACAAGATGGAAAAGAAACCTCGAGCAAAGAGAGCAACGGTTTAACGTTCGACAATTTGTCTTTGAAAGATAAGAGCGTTTTTTTTCGAGGTAAATTTACGGATAATCGATATTTCCAATTTATTTGTCTGCTACAGTGAAATCAAGGATTTTTTTTTTATTAACGTAGAACGAAGGGCAATAAATACCTCGGTTACCGATTTGACGCTAGTCGCGTCAAATTCAAATCGAGAAGCTTGGAATACTTTATCTTTAATTCTTTATTTTTCTTCTTCCACTATTTCTTCTTTCACTATTTCTCTTACCTCTATCCTTTTTATTTTTTCTTGTGCACTCTTGTGTTAAACTAATAGTTATCGAGGGAAGAAACTCAAGAATAAAGAGATTACCAGGAACGGCGATTTTTTCATTCGAAGCTATTAGTACAAGAATGCAATCACCTTGTCTAATGGAGCCTTGAGATCAAGATCAAAGGTTCTCAGTTCGTTTATCAACTACCGATTTCTGTCTTCGTTGCAAAAGAACAGAGGAAAACAAAAAACAAAAAAGAAAGAAAAGAAACAAACCGAGATAAATTAAGCAAAGAATGGAAGGGAAAGACTTCAAACGTTCGCAGAATGAAATTCATGAAAATGCAACAAAGTGCTTAAAGGAACCTATTTATGTTTAAGCTTAAACGACAACCGTTTCGATGTTTCGATGATTTTAAAACCACGCGCAGTGAATTTGAGGGTATAAAAGCAATAATCATTCGACTAATTGTTTCGACAGGGTCGTGCTGGCTGCAGACAAGACAACGACAATTTGTTAATACAGAAAAAAGGAACAAATAAAAAAGAAAAAAAACGAAAAAGGAAAAGAAAAGGAAAATATAAGAAAGAAAAAAACGAAAATAACCATTGATTAATTAACACGTTGAATGCCACGCTTACTTTACGTGGATTGTCCGCGTCCAAACATGAATTTCTTATTATGCGATATATATTATGTTGAAATATTATCTTCAACAGATAAGTTGAGGTGTATAATCATGTTTAATGAATTTATCTTACCGGTGACCCCCGTGGCGCTGAAATATCTAACCAAATAATCGCATATAATTCACCACTGCGTAGAACTGTAAAGTGGTACAGGAAATTAGCAATATAATTATTATTCAATACATGTATTGCAAATGCACTAGTACTGTTCAAACAAGCAGAACTAGCAGAAATATTGAAATTCCCAATTTCGGAATGAAAATAGCTGTGTATTTAACGAAATGTCGTAATAATGAAATTAAGAGTTGCATTTCTCCGCGTGGAAGCTTACTGAGAAAATCGCGTCATGAATTTAAAAAAAAGCTAGGAGTGTACGACGATTTTGCAAAATATGTTATGAAAAGAATTCAAAGAAACTAGGTACGATTGCAAAAAATTGTACTAAAAAAGTCGTGATATACTGTGAAAATTGTACTAATTCATCTTTTCTTTGTTTGCAGTATTTTAATATTTTAATACACATCGCAATATGAGCTCATAATACATACGCATATAGTTTATTTTATTTTACATGTAAATGAAACTATTTTTACAAGTTCTACGCTGCATTAATTTTTTCACATCATTTTTTATTAATTAATCATTTTTTCACATCATTTTTTATTAATATTTTTTATTAATTATTTTTTATTAATTTTATTATTTTTTATTAATTTTTTCACATCATTTTTTATTAATAGTTTTTATTAATCATGGTTTCGTCGGTCACCGGTGACCCCCACCATTGATGGCATTCAACGTATTTTTATTAATCATGCTATTCTTCACCCGGATTTCTTTTTTCGACTACTCGAGAAAAATCTTCTTGAAACTATTAACAGACGTTTATAACGGCTCGTAAACGGTTCAAAGCGGCCTAGATCAGATTATTTCCAAAAGAAACCAGCTTGAAAGTACTTTCAAAATTCTACTTCACGAGAATTTATTGTATAGCCAGCTTGAAAGACAAGTGGCTTCTCTCGCATTTTCGGCTACTTCGTTTAATTAGGTCAAACCTTTCTTAGAACAACAACTGTGCAAACAATATTTTGATCATTACTTAACAGTGATTATTATATTGTGACTGAATTGGTCGTCGAAACAGTTTTGGAAGTAGTTTTGGAAAGACGAAAAGAAAAAAGATGATACGGAGATATTGCATAATCAGTAAAGTTTCTCTAATTATCGTCGTCCCAAGAATCGTTCATAAAGACATCCTTGAATGCTGATCTCCCGGAATACATCCGACTAATCGGCTAATAAATAGCCGTCAAATTAGCTGTAATTGGCTTTAGCTGTAAACAGAGCGCGAGCACACGGGTGTACCCCATTAGCATCCCACAGGATCCATTAACTCCTCTTCTCCCTCTCGTTTTACACGCAACGTCGGATCGGCTTAAATTCTCTTCGGCTCTTCCATCCTTTGTCAACCCGTCGATGACGACTATTCCCCTTTTTCTCCTCACGTGGCACACGGTTTCCTCTCCCGTGATCGTCAAGCAAAGTATGCAGACGAACTCATCGAAACGTGTGAATTACTATACACGCAAGCGACCACAGATTAACAACGAAACGGAAAGAAAAGAAAAGAAATGAGAAACGTGTGGTTCTTCTCGAAGACGAGCGAGAAAAAGTTATCGATTAAGTCTTGAAATCGTGAGAAAACATTTTAAATCGTGAATAATGCGCCGAAAACCGAAAAGGATTTGATCGTTCAACGTCAACTCGAGTCGATCAAACAACCGACTCGATTTGTAAAGCAAAACGTTGTTACGTTGTAAAGGTATAATTAAGAGTTATATTTTACAATTTCACAAAACTGTTTATTAGAACAAGAGACGAGACTTCCACTCCGAAACTTATAGATAGAAAAATATTATTACAATAGATTGTGCTTGCTGCAGTGCCAAACTGTTTCTGTCTGTAGGTTCTTTCTGCTGTGCAGATATATATCTTATTCCATTTTGAGTCTTGGTCAAAGTACTACAAAGGACGACTCATGCCTGACTAATTCCTAACAACGTGGACGCGAACAAAATTACGAGCGCCAGTCGAATGCGGAGACACAAAGGAAGAACGACGAATAAAAATGCTAAATGCCGCACGGTGTATTCATAGAAACTACCGGTACACTTAAACGCAGCTAACAATAAGAGATGCCAAAAAAGAAAGTATCGGGAGATGCGTCATTTATTGCTAGATATCTGAAATACGAAACACGACGATGTGACAGGAAACGATGCAATAGACGACCGAACACAGAAAGCATATTACGCAGGAAGATCTCGACGAATTCCTCTCAACTCGATTCTTCCTCCATTTACCTCGTGCTTCCTCGTGCACCCGAAATTGAACGCACATTCCCCACTCGAATCCCCGTGCTCTCGATTTCGATCCCGACATCCGACCAGCTATTTGATTTCAATTAATTCTTTTTCTTCGTTCGACTTTTCCTTTTGTTTCTCACTACGAGCGCGTATTGATTCGTCGATTGCGATACCTACGGATAAATTGAACCGATTAAACCGATACCACTTACATACGTATATCTATACTATGTAGAACGTTGTAAATACAGGCTCAAAATCGATCCAACTCGATTTAATTCAAGTCTCATGCACGTTTGTTCCACATTTGTTTAATTAGTTTAAATAATTAGTTTATTTAATCTGCCTGGATTTTTCCTTGAATCTAACTATGGTCAAAAATTCGAGGACGATCCAGACTTAAAAATTACATTTACACCGGGGAAAAGATGGCACAAAAAACGTCAAAACGAGCGTAAACATTTACTATCGGAAAGTTAAACTCGATGCAGATGAGCAGAAAATTCGTCATCGTGACAAAGCAGTACGTGAGTCTCTTTTGATTTGCTGCCTACTTGCGTCGGTAATTATATACCGATTTTGATGATTTTTGGATATGTTTCAACATGTGAACAAAAGGAGACAAGGAAAAAATGCAACTTAATTTAGCTATTCGATAGCATTCAATAAATGACAGAGTTTCTGTCTGATCACTTCACCAAGCTGGATTGTAAGATAAAATTGTACGAATTTTTAAATTCACATTTAATGCTAAACCTACCACAATTGGTCAAATAACCGTCTTTAAATTTTCGTTCAAAATTGTATACATACAATATTATTACATCATGATTTAACTTCACGACATATATATATATATATATATAATGAATATTCGTACCCTTTTTTCGCGAGGGAGGGGGGGACATACGTAGCTTGTCTTATCTATCGCGACCGATAACTATAAGTGTAAGGCAATCTCTAAATGAAGCATAATTTTGACTAAAAGCAGGATCAGCCTTTGATACGACCTGAAGAAGCCACGATACGGTGATAATAAATGATGAATACGTGGAAAAAGTATACTTTGTTCTACTTATAAGTGCAGACCTTGAAATTAGAAGAAAGAGCACAACTTTGTAATTCCAAACGAAAGGATCTAACAATACATACAGATTTACACAGTATATGCCGAATAAGCTAAATTTGGCATTAAATTCTAGTTAACTACTGACAGCAAATACATTATAAACGGGTTTCTATATTTGAGAAATGATAAAAGCAGAAAATCTTCAATTCCTCTTGGAAAATTTATTGTTCTCAAATTAATAGAACCATTCATAGACTGGAATAGTTTTATTAATATTGGAAGAAATATATCACACATAATCTTTTACAAGCGTATCATTGGCTACAAAATTGTTAGTGATTTGTTCTAATAAAAAGAAACTGCTAAAACTTTCCAAACAAAAGATAATATGGCATGTTCTGTAACAAAACTATAGGCTATAAGACTGATGATTCTACTCTTACAATATATAAAAGTAAATCGAAGAAAAGGGTACTTGTTTTAAGTTTAATGCACGAATCTATAATAATTGAAAAGAATGATTTGCATATACCAGAAACAATTAGGTTTTGTAATAGTACCAACTTCGGTATAAATATGCCCGACCAAATGGCTAGGAAATATAATGTAAAATCAAAATCTTGGAGATGATCTCTGCAAATCTTCTTCAATATCTTTGATTTAGCCGGAATAAATGCGTAGAATTTCTATAAGGAAACGATTGAAGAAAGAATTTCGAGGCAGGGATTTTTATTTCAATTAGTAGATGAATTTGCCTTTGAATTTGAAGAATTACAAGAAGTAAACCAAAAAGAAATATAGAATAAAACGACAAATATAAGTAGAGTTTCATAAATATATGGAAAATTTGTCAAATAAGATATTGTAAGGACAATAAAACTAATAAAATATGTATGTAGCAATGTCGAGAACCCTATTATAATTTGCAAAAAATGCGGCAAACAAGAACGAAATATGCATTATTTACTTTTAAAAGAAGGAAACTGTCTTACATTTTAATAATTTTATTGATAATTTAGTATCTAATTTATTACAAAACATTAATTATTCATGTAATTACGGTAGAAATACGTAGTGTCAGTAGGTTTAATGTTAATGTTGACCGTCTTACAACGGGTACATTAGAAATATGTACTAGCCTAAATCTAATATTTATTTAATAATTAGCCAGCTTGCTTATGTGTATTAAGTTTTAGTCCGGCCATTAATTATTCGCAGTAATAAATTTAATTAAGAATTCTGTCTTGTTCACTCATGTTTACAAATTGAAATATGAGATATAAACTCATCACATCACTCAGTTTGCAATATAAGTATGTTTGAAGATAATCAGGCCTAAACTCGAATGGCCTAAAATAGACCTCATCAAAAGAAAAACATCAAAACTTTTTTCACAAATATCTTGAAAACTAAAATCGAGCAGCGATTA